TTTAGGGTTTAGTGCTTAGGGTTTGTAGGGCTCAGGGCTGGTACTCTCAGGGTACTACAATGGTAGTATCAGGGTATGGCTAAAGGCTATGGCTAAAGGTACGGCCCGGCTGCTACAGGGTTTAAGGGTTCTTGGGGTTGAGGGTTCCGAGCGCCTGGTCCGGTCTCAGGGCGCAGGGTTTGGAGTTCTTTCGGTTTAGGGTTTAGGGTTTAGGGTTTAGGGTCTGCATCTTTTGGGTGGAGTGTGTGGGGTTCTGAGGGTTTGGGGTTCTATGTAGGGTCTCTGGGCTTCGGGCTTGAAGTACTTTTTGGGCGGAGGGCGTAGGGTTCCAGGTAGGGCCTCATGGTTTGAGGGCGTTTTGTGTTGAGGCTGCATGTCAGCCTGCCAGCAAGATGCCCCGTCATAATTTCGGGACAGGAAAGACCAAGACTTTGGGGTATAATGCACTCTACAACTCTGATAAGACTACGGAATGGTATTTTGGGTAGTGATTCAGGCTTCCATATTCATCCATTCATCCCTCCCAGAGAAAACTGACTTCCAGCACGTGTTTCAGTCTGATGAGTCGACGAGATATTCGCTGAAGTCGAGCGGGAGGAGATGATAGAAAGGAGGTTCGGGCGGTTTCTCTGACTTCGCCCGGATCATGCCCCTCACATCCAAACAACATGATATAGACGCCTAGAGCGAATTTTATGATCAAATTCGACTCGGGGCAAAAATTGGTAATTGTTCAGGCTTCTATGCTATGTAGTCTGCAGGCTGCACGCGTGCTGCTCGAACAGATCTCGCAGAAGCCGCCTCGCCATCTGTGCAGGCGCAATCTCGCCGTAGACCCCAAAGGTGTCACCGTCGGCGAAGTGCATTTGGACCTGTAACAGAAATAGTGGCAGTGGTGCAGTGGTGCGGTGGTGGTGGCAGTGGTGGCAGTGGTAGGGTGTGGGAGTTGCAGCACTGGGATGGGGGGGGGGCCTGGAAATAGTCCATACTACAACCGGATCCCCGATACTGCAACCAGAAGCCCGATACTACAACCCCACCCAGAAACAGCTGAGCAGTTGTTCGCACAAAAACGGAGTAATGGGGCCCGCCGTCGATCCCTACTACATGGAGAGGCTCGAAGTGAAAAGCTTTGAACATCACACCTGGCAACCGGCTACTCTCTTGCACGGTAGTGCTTTGCGCGGCAGACTAGACAAACGTTAGCAGCGGAAAAAGCGGAAAAGGCTTTGCAAGTTTACCATGGTCTTCCCATTCCTGTCTGCGAAATTCAGGGAGTCCGCCAGTGCCCGCAGCTGCAGCTCATCTGCACATGTTCGATTGGGATCGCCATCAGCAGGCCAGAGGAGCTTCAGAAGATTGTAGGTACTCCTTCAGACTTTTTGTTCCGCCGACGGACGGAATCTGCGACAGAGAAGCCAGCACGCCCGACTCTCGAAACTTCAACCGAATCTGCGAACTCAGCCTTTTACTCCTTGCATGTGTCCATGGCACTGTCGGCACGCGCACACCGGTGCAACATGATCATGTGACGGAACCCTGACATCCTGAAGCCTAAACTCCTTCGCTCTGCATTTCTGGCTCTCAGAGTGGTTAAGACCCGACTTATTCAGTGACGAAGGGCTCTTCGGGGTTCCCACGGTATGTACAAGGAGCGGCCGTAGATGGAAACCGGTCCTAAGACCTGAAAGCCAGTCTAAGCTCGAGAGCTTACATGGCCTCATCCAACCGCCATGTCCATATGACTCAGGGATGACCATCATCGTCATTACCATTATCACCATCATCAGCAGCACCACCATCATCATCATCATCATATCTCTCTCAACAAATGTCCGAAGGCGAACTCAAGTAGCCAGATGTTGGCATTTATGTCGACTGTCTGTGACAGCAGCAGCTGTAGCAGTGCGTCATCATCATCATCACCACCAGTTTCATCAGCAGCAGCAGCAGCAGTAACATCATGCAAATAATATGCTTGGGATGTCGTAAACGTATCCTGCAGAAGTGCTCTATGACTGCTTGCAAGTTCTCACGACACACACCCCTAGGTCCAAATGTAATCTCAACTCAAAATCCTCAGGTGTAGAGTTTTTGCCCCTTCATGTGAGCTTCGGAGCTCAATCTTTCCAACTACAGGCCGCTCCAGTGAAAGCACTATCCCGCCAGTCAAACCCGGCTTTTGGGCACCTCATCGTAAACAAGACCCATCTACGGGCCCCCTGACTTGCAACAGGCGACCGATCTGCACAAAGGTCTCAGCTGCCAAATCAGGCCGTCCATAGCGGGCGCCTGCACTTAGAATGAAAGGAACGGACCCTGCTGTCCGCAGCCTTGAGCCTCCGGTCTTGCTTTCACCGAGTCTTGGCTCGATAGCATTGCTCTTCTCAGTTGTTCGTTCTGAACACGACTGCTGATGTTCTTACTAATGCTGTGTTTGTTTGTTGTCGCTGCTGTGTTTACAAATGATTATTATTCATTTGTAAACATAGCAGCAGCAATAAGCAAACTATGATTGCGATTACGATTATGAGTATGACTGTTGCAAGTACGATTACTACGATTGCTACTAGTAATGCTACTATATTGACCGTATTGGCAGCCACAAGGACACAGGCCCTGCCTCATTGAAGCAGGTCATGGGAACTGGGGTTTGTCGCATTGCCTCGCCAGACAACACCCAGTGCCTGAACAGGGCGTGGGGTCAAGAGTGTCGGTTTAGGTTGCAGGGCGCAGGGCTTAGAGTTTAAGGCTTAGTTTGGGTTTAGGGCCCACCGGGAAGGGACCCGAAAGGGCTTATAACCCCAAAATAATCCTTGGGTTACCTCGATTTCGGACAAAGGCTTTTTGAGCTAGACCCAGCGTTGCAGCTAGGCTTTAGGTTTAGGGTTTAGGGTTCCCAGGCACTAAGTCCCCAGGCCCCAAACCCGAAGCTCTTTCGCAGCAACCTTCAAGTGCTCTGGGCTACCCTTAAGGTTTGCATAACCTGGACACCCTTTTCCCTTCACCCTATAAAAGAAAACTATGTGCCGATTTCCCTATCTGCCGAACACAACCGCCTTCAAAGCTCCGCAGAACCCTCATTATAGCCCTGCTTTCAGCCCTAACCCCCTAACCCCCTAAACTCCTAAACCCCAAACCCAACCCCCAAACTCCTAAACCCCAAACCCAAACCCCCTAAAGTCCTGAACCCTAAGAGCCGTCTCTTTGGTCCTGGAAAGCCCCTGGCCTCGGTCTGGGCCCTGGTGAGGAGCTCGCTGCGCCGCCTCTGCGTGCACCAGAAGGCACTGGACCTGGTTTAGGGTTTAGGGTTAGGGTTTAGGGTTTAGGGTTTAGGGCTTAGGGTTTGGAGTTTAGAGTTTGGATATATAAGGGATCCTACTATAATTTAAGGTCTATTCCTTAATTAAGGGGTATTGGAGTCTCTGGGTATGTGTTTGGGGTCGACATGAGGGTCTAATGTAGCGTTTAGGGCTTCGGGTTTGACTTGAGGGTCTAATGTGGGACTTCGCACGTGAAATCGGGTTTGGGGCGTCTGTTGTAGCACAGCTGTCTGCACATCCACATCTCTATATCTATACCTGCATCGAGATCTAGATCTAGAT